CTAAGTAGACCAGGGTTTGGGGGGTGGAGTGTGGGAGGGTGCACTAGGCAAAAGGAGCATCAGCGGCAAAAGCCCAGAGGGGCAAAAACGTGCGTTCGCAAAGGGAATCAGGCGGCAGCTGTTCAGTGCCAGATATTAAGGAGGTGAGATTTTCCTGCGCCTTTTCCGCCTCCAACGCTTTAAAGGCTGCGCCTCGAGCCCCACCTGGTGGCAGCTCTTGATACTAGCAGGGCAGAAATAACCAGCTGTAGGGGACAGTGGCCCCTACTTACTGCTCTCCTCCGGAAAGGCCCTTCCCTTTTTTTCCCTCCATAAATGAACTCCATAAATGATAAAAGTGATATCACACAGCCGCAGTGAATATTTATTTAAAAGTAAAGAAAAAGGACTAAAAAAGAGACAAGTGCTGGAGATATAGCTCAGGGGCTTAAGCGCCTGCCTGGCCAGCCCAGGGTCCTGAGTTCGACTTCCAGTACAAAAATAAGAAAGAAGAGAATGAAACACCCGTAATTCCATCACCCAGAATATTTGCTAATAATAGTTGGGTACGTTTGCTTCTAGTGCTTTTTTCTGAATATAATTTTTCACAGATCACGAGTAGTGTGTGTATTTACTTATGCACCTGCACATAATAATATATATTAAGAACATATGTTGAATATTTGAATATTGTTGTGGAGTTTGGTGGATCTGGGTGTTAGTGTCAGACCATCCTGAGTTAGAATCTCATTTGTACCCCTACTAGCTGTGTGACTTGGGTAAGGGTCCTCTTTTCCAGGAAGGAGTTTCCTTCCCCATCAGAAAATGTGCCTTGTAGGGGGCACACCCATCCCAGAGCTGTTGCGAAGAGGAGATGCCTGGTCTGCAAAATGCTTCATCCAGTCCCTGACCCCGAGAGGGGGCTCACCAGTAATAATCATGATGCAAAGATCTGTCCTTCTGCTTCTTAGCAGCAGTCTCTAGAAATGGGATTGATTTCTGGGTTTGAGCATACAGAGAGCCACAAGGTTGCTAAGAGTTTGCCAAAACCGAGAGGAAAAGTTCAACCAAGCGCTCGTGTCTCTAGCATCACAGCTGCTCTAATTTGTCTCTGAATTCTTCCAGGCCCTGTTTACATGCAGCAATTTTTAAGCATCGTGATTACAATGCTTGCACCCGTTCCCTTCATGTTATATCACCCACATTTTTCTGGGTGGCTGAAGCTGTCATGGATTGCTTTTACCATAGCTTGCTCGACTATTTTTGAGTTTTTTATTTATTCATTCATTCATTCAAAAAGTAGTTTCTGAGTTGTGCCCTTGTTGGGCACTGGAGTAGGCATCGGGATGCGGTGGTTCACAAGAACAGTGCACTGCTTACACCTGGTATTGGTGAGGCAGACAAGGGAAGAAGCAAGTGAGCCCCTAACCATAAGGTGCGGTGGGTACAGCAAGGGAGAGGACAGAGGCCCCGGATGGAGCTGCTCTAGTCACACCCTCATTGCCTTTGGGGCAGTAATTCTGGTCCTTTGTTCTAAGCTCATCTTTGCCCCTTCACAGCCACAGCTGATGCTTCTTTTGGAGGTGGTGGCTGTGGGGTTGAGTTTTTCACTGACACATTTTAAGGGTTCCTGAGACATCAGTAAGTACTTATTTGGTGTCCAAAGTCTGATAACAGAGTTCAAAATGGGCCTTGTTTCCTGTCTCCATTCCTCAAAAGCTTGTGCTTTGACTGGTCCATACCACTCCCTTACTCTCTGAGGAGGGTGGTGATTGTCACCTTCTTACATCCACCGGTACCACACCTTTTCCTCATCTCCCCTCTCCACTCAGATCTCAGCTACCCCTGAAAGCCTGTTAATCAGTGGGCAAAGATGCCTCCACCTGGTGGGCAGAGCTGCAATGGGTGAGGATAGGGTGGGAGGGCTGCGGAGAGGCAGGGTACATGTTGGGTTTCATGCCCCTGCCCACATCCTTTGCATGGCTGTGACAGTGCTGCCACAGCCTCTGCAAAGGCCATCCCATCTAGCTTTTCATGTACTCAACTCTTACTCCATCTGAAATACTCCACTTCTAGTTGATCTTTTACGTGAAGTTGTGGTCTGACTTTCTAATTCACAGTGAGTTCTCCATTCCTTGGGCTCCAAAACAGTGTTTCCTTTTTACTCTTTCCCTCACTTGATACTGAATCATTTACTGCTTTGTACTTCTTTGTTTTCTCATCTTATATTGTTATTTCATTGGAAGAGGTCAGATTTAGATTGAGAGACCAGAGGTACCTGTGATGTATCACTTACACTGAACACTGAAGGAGGAGGGGAGCAGAGATCTAGAACAAGAGTCCTAGGCAGAGGGAAGGATGTGCAAATGCTCTGAGGCAGAAGTCTTGGGATTTAAGCCCACAACAAATATCTGTATGCGGTATGTTCTTTTCAGATTTGACAAAGTTGAAGACAACTCATTAAGTAATGCATTCATACTACTTTCTGAGAACAACAATGCTCTAGTCCTCAGAGATGGAGATAGAGAACAATCATTTATATAATCATAACAATGGAAAGAGTAGCTGTTTCTTCCAGGAAGCGTTGAGAATTGCTTATGCCAGAAGAAGAGATTTGAGCTGAGTCTGCATTTCCCAGGTAGAGACACAAAGGAAGGGTAAGTCCAACAGAGGGGACAGTATGTACAAGAGCATGAAGGCAAAGGGAGTGGAATCATTTCAGAAATGACAATTGGAAGGCTCTCTTAGGACAGTTAACACATGTGGAATTAATCTGTAGACGGCAGGACACCAGGGGAGGTTTCTAAGCAAGTAAGTAGTAGGTCTGCCATAGAGTGAAGAATGGATGGGGGAGTGGTGGGGACCAGAGATGGGGAGAATTATGAGGAGGCTGGTGCAGTGGCCCAGACTAAGAGTAGAAAGCTGAACTGGGACAGTGTTAATAGTGATGGGTACGAAAGGGAAGATGAGGGTAACTCAATGTAAAAACTGTAAGACTTAATGATGGTCTGGATTTAGGAAGCCAGGGAGAGGTGGTAAGTTAAGACTTGGGATTTTCAGGCCATAACTAAACAAAAGTGAGTCCAGGTGGAGGGACAGGCCTTGGGGGACAGAGCAGTGAGAGAGATCTGGGGTAGAGGAAGGGGCAGAGAGGGCTTCTGGTTAGTACCACGGACAGCTCCGTGGGCTGTCAGAGGCTTGATTTCCACTCTATCAGTGATTCTTGGCCTTGGCTGTCTTGAAATCAGCCGAGGGATTAAGTTAATATGCAGACACCCAGGGTCAACTAGAGGTTCTTCACCAAAATCTCTAGGTATTCAGGAGCCTGTATTCTAAACAAGCACCCCAGGTTATTTGGTTCAGTTGGTAAGGCCATAAGACACCACTGTCTTATGTTTCGCCTCTGAGGGAAAACAGGAGAGCAGCCATTGCTGCTATAAACGAGTCTGGAACCTTGTCAGGTTATAACTGTACATGTCGAGGTGGGTTGTTTACCAAATGGAACCCTGGACTCACATAAAACAAGACTCCTGGACAAACGAGAGAGGAAGGGGTCACCTTGCTCCACAGCCTCTGTGTTCCTTTTACTTTCTGGTGCTGAGAGTGACAAAGTTCACCCATGTGCACTCCTGGCAACTGTCATCATTCTGGGATGATGTTTCCAGTTCTGTTCCCTAAAACCCAACCCAATCCCAAGACCCAACCCAACCCAACCAAACCAAATGTAGCTCCCTCAGGTGGGAGGAGAGAGCACTCTTCTCAGATTGTCTTTATTTTTTTAAGCAGTAGCAAAGTTTTACATTTATTAAAAAATAGGAAACGAGACATGCTTTACAGAGTGAGTCTGGGCCGAGGAAAGGTGGGAAAAAGGTACACCCTCCAGTGTGAGTGTGAAGAGACACAGTACCTTGGATTAGCTTTAAAATATATGATAGCCTAAAAGAACCAAAAGCAGAGGTTCAAACAGCTATTCCACACACACCAGTGTCATAGACAGCATTGTTTACAACAGCTAACATGTGGAAACAACTAAAATGTCCATGGACAGATGAATAGGTACAAATAATACAGGACATATATACAGCAGAAAATTCGTCAGCCTTTAACGGAGTGAAATTCTGATGCGTGCTACAATGCAGGTGGGCCCAGAAGGCTGTCTGCTAAGTGAAATAAGCCAGACGTAAAAGGACAGATGTATGATATCACTTCTATGAGATACATCTCAATCGTCGGATTAAGCAAGCAAGAAAGTAGGATTGTGGTTGTCAAGGGCTGGGGTTGAGGCAAGTCAAGATGTTATTTCATGGGCACAGAGTTGCAGTGTGGCAAGAAAAAGTTTGGAGATGGGTGGTGGCAACAGCTGCAACCGCAATGTAATGTACTAAACGCCACTGTACTGAGCTGTATATTAAAAATGGCTAAAATGGCAAATGTTATGTATCTTTTACTACAATAAAAAAGTGGCATAATAAGAAGAAGCAGTCGTCAATATCCTCAACTCCTCTGGCAATCTGTAGGGCTTCTGTCTCCATCCCGTTGGGAACTCCCTGAGAACCGGGAATCCCCCCTGGGCTCTCACAGGACTAGAAAGGAGTTTCTTATAAGGAATTATCGCACCTTCCCCGGGCCTGGTCCTGTCACATTCATTAGCACCAGAATGAGCAGATTCCTTGCGGTGGATTTCTCTGCATGGAGTGGGAGGACTGGGAGTTGCCCAGTGAGTGTGCATAGGGTGGGGGAACCGAGTCTCTTATTGGAGACAGATACTCTCCTCCTCAGTCTCCAGGCTTGGGAGCCCATGTACGTTCCTACCCCGCACGCTCACCTCCACCCTCTCTCCTCGCTAGGCTCCGAGTTCTCAGAAGTTTGTAAAGTTTTCGGGTGGGGTAGGCTGGTGGGCGTGCCAGGGCAGGCCTGCCCTCTTCCAAAATGGCGACAACCGCCTCTGTGACAGGCGTGGTCACGTGGGCATCCTCGCCTATGAGGTAGCAGGAGGTCGATATGCGATTGTCCCTTCCCGGGCCCTGTCCAGAGGCGGGGCCTGCCTCTGTCAACCCGAGCCTGAGCGATCATGGCAACGAGCTCTGGCGGGGAGCGCGTGGCAGCGGTAGCAGCGGTAGCAGCGGCGGTAGTTTGGTCGCGGTCTGGGACGGCGGAGCGGCGGCGGCGGCGGCGGCGGCACAGGCATTCGCACCGGTCCTGAGCGCCATGCAGCAGGGCGGCTCCGAGAGAGAGTTGGCGGCCAGGTGGGAGGCAGAGGCGGTAGCCGCGGCCGAAGCTCAGGCGGCGATGAAGGAGGCGCGGGTCGGCGTGGAAGCGGGCGCTGCCGGGGAGCCCGAACCCGCGGCGGGGGAGGAGCAGCCCAAAGCCCCTGAGCGGCCCCATGCGGCCGAGGAGGGCGACGCCCGCACAGGCCCGCCCGCGCTGCCCCTGTCCAAGCCCAAGCCGGCGCCGGCACGGGGGCTCGGCCCGCACGGGAAGCCCAGGGGCAAAGGACGAGAGCCGCGGCCAGTCACCGTGGACAGCTCCAAGGCCAGAACCTCCCTGGAAGCCCTGAAGATCAGCATCCGCCAGCTCAAGTGGAAGGAGGTGAGGCCCAGTCCCGCCGTGGGGCCCAGGGGGGTGGACAGAACAACCAGGTCGGCGGGCCAGGGCTGCTGTGAACTGCTCATCAAGGCCTAGCCCAGAATCACTTTTAGGTCAAGTTAGCCTCCTGTAGCTACAATTCTGTTTTTCAGCAGTCAGCGCTGGCTTTTCATACTGTGGAGTCTGCAATATGCAGATACTGCTTTATGTGTCTGTCTGTCTGTCTGCTGTACCAGCTTTGAATTCCTGGGTCCTCTCCTTTACTTCCTTATTTAGGTTATACTTGCTTAGCACTTACTGTGTGACTCTTGGGTAGAGTAATAGCTTGTTCTTGGAAGGCAGGCAGAGCAAGGGTCTCATTTTGCCCAGCTGTTGAGCTGCACAACTTTGAGTAAGTTACTTTTCTCTATAGCCTATTAATCTCTCTGAAAGTGAGGCCAACACCACCTATCTCACCACTTTGTTAATGCTGAAAAACCTACTGCTGAGTGTTGTATAGCATACATAGTCAATAAATGATAACTTTTTTTTTGTTTTTACTACCCTCTCTCTCCTTCTCCATCACCACCACCTTCTTCATTATCATCAGCTCAGGTACCGTGTTTATGATTCAGGGGTGGACATATAGAAGGTGCCAGTAAATGGTGGATGGCAGGGCAGATAAAGAGCTGAGTTACTCATCCTTGAAACCCTTTTAAAACCTTTTGAGGTCTAGGATGAAGCACTTTTGACTTCCAGAAGTTTCTGTTGCAACAGGCTGAGTGGTTAAAGATGTTTGACTCTGTAGCATATACGGCTATTTAATGTACATTTGGGAATGTCAAGATTCCAAGATTATGGTAGTCTGTGGTGGAAACCTAGACCCAGAGGTTTGGCTAAGGTTAATAAGCATTGCAGTAGGCAACTTGAGCCCTGTGCCTTAAGTGTGGAAGATGTTAAGTAACAGTTTTATCAAGTTGGGACCTGCAGAGAGTTGGCCATAGAAAGGACTAATATTGATGTTCTAGTAGGAAAGTGTCATTTGGTTTGGAGGGGAATCAAGAATCAGGCAGGGGAAACTTTCACATAGGTAAGGCTTAGCTGTTGGGGAAGTCTGATGCAGGCGTCAGGGCCCTCAGCCTTGGGGTGTGAGATTTAGGGAAGGATTTTAATGCCTGGGGAAACTAGGAGTTTGGGAGCAAGAGCAGACTCTCAGTTCAAGAGTTTCTGAGTTTCTAAACAAGGTCTCAGGCCCAGGTGAGATACGAGGCTAGGAAAGTGAAACTAAACTGGTCAATGGCAAGGTTTTAGTGAGAAGAGAATTCAGGGACAGAAATCTCACCAGAGAGTCAGGCTAGGCTGACTGGCCACAGGAAGAGCTGTTTTTAGCCCTGTGAAAGAAAGATACAGGAGGTAGGCTATGTCTTGTTCATTAGGCCAGGTGGGCTCAGCCAACCTAGCCCAGATTCCTTTATTCATTCTGTAAATGTCTACTGTGTTGGTGCCAACTTCTCTGCTAGGCCTTGGGAATCACATTTAAATAGTAACCCTTGCCTTCAAGGACCTTGTAGTTCATTAGGGAATAAAACACAAAGAAATAATTGCAGTCCTCACAGGACCAATACTGCTGCTTCTTGAAATGCTGGTTTTCCCGTTATTTGCAATACATACTCCTCTGTCATGTCTTCAGGTCCCTGATCAAATGCCACCTCCCTACAGAGGCCTTCTGAAATGTTGCCCATCCCGGACTCCAGCCCTTACTCTTGTTCATTTTTTTTTATAGCACTAAACTCTACCTGATGTTATATTATGTGTTTATTGTCTCTTTCCCTTATCAGAATGTAAGCTCCTTGAGGGCAGGGGCTTTGTTTTGTTTACCACTGTACTTTAAAGTGCTTGGCATGTGGAAGTTGCTCAATAAATATTTGTCGGATGTATGAATACGTTTCATGTGATGAGTGTTTCTCTTTACATATGTGCAGTTGTTGGTGCTGTGGGAGGCCAAGAAAGTTTTTTGGAGAAGGTAAACTACAGCTGAGTCCCAAATGCTAAAAGTGGGCTGGAGTTATTTAGGGGCTGTGGACTTTGGGTCCCTGGTAGAGGAAGCAGCATGGGTAAAGCAGAGGTACAGCCAGGGCTTTGCATGAGAGTCAGTCTGGCTGGATTGCAGAACAGGAGGCAGAATAATAAGAGTTGAGACTGCAGAATAAATGGGGGTCAGGTCACATGCCACTCTGGAATTTGGACTTTTTCTTGGAAAAGAGCCTATGTGGCACTTTGCAGAACTGTAAGGGTCTTCCATCTATAGCTGTACAACTGTGGGCAAGGGATTTAAATAGAACACTTCAGGGCTTAGTTTATCCATACAGCGAGGGTGAGTAGAGCTATTTCAGTGGTTTCCAGTCTTTCTAGTGCTACAGCCATGTATGGGCAGTATTAACTTATGTGAGACCCTTGCACTGGTGAGCCCAGTGGAATAAGAATTTTCTAGGGTCTAACCTAGGACTGCTCCCTTCCCTCCAACACCAGGCCTGCCACCTTCCCCACTCCAAAATATTCATGTGTGATCGGAGATGCTTATTCTAGCATATTTGAACGTAATTCCCCCATAGCAGTAAGACCTTCCTATTAGATGTGTGATTACTTACTTAACATCACTTTTTTCCATTGGCCTGTGCAGTTGAGAGGGCGGGGGTGGTCCCTGGCTTATGCCCAGCACATTGTAGGTGCTCAGTATTCATCACATGAATGATGGAATTGCAACAGAGCTCATGAGTCAACCTGCTGCTCCAGAATATGGAGTTTGAAAAGTATTCAGCTAAACTTTAAAGTTCCTTCCTATTTTATAATCTATTATAATTCTACAAATTGATTTCATGACAGTAACATATGAAACTGGTTCTAAAAAGCATAAACTCACAATCTCTCCAGGCTTAGTTTCCTCTATTTGTTATGGGAGTGACATTGGCTAAGATCATCTCTAACTTCTAGCACTGATGTTCTTGGAGCAAAATTTCTACTAGCATGTGGAGCAGAAGGTACTGAGCAATAGTGAGTCCTCAGTTTCCCTGTGTGTTATGGGGTAATGTTGGACACTATCATCTCTAGCTTGGAGCAAGAACCTCCACTTGGGCCTGGGAAAAAAAAGTCACTGAACAGCAGTGTCCTTTGTGTATCATGCTGTGCTACTACTGTGGAGTTTGGCAGATCTGGCTGGCTGGCTTTGACAGAGGTGGGTGGGCAGCCCAGGTAAGAAATAAAGTCACAAACACTAACCAGAGACAAGTGCCATCTCCTTTTACGGGTGCGTAATGAGAACGCTATAAAACATGATCTATTTTTAATGAGGGCCCTACGCCAGACCATGAATTTGTTTGGCTACTGGATAGACAGCCTCCCTTCTTTTACTTTTCTTTATTCCACGTACATTTAACAATATGATAACTACAGTTGTGAACCTTTGAATAATTCTTACCCTGTACCAGGTGCAGTTTTAAAGTGCTTTATACATAGACAATTTATTTTTGATTTTCCAAACAACCCAATAAAATGCCTTATGCCCATATCACAGATAAGAAAATTGAAGTAGACAGGTCTTAATCCAAGGTCATTCAGCTAGTGAGGGCCAGAGCCAGGCTTTTAAATAGCGAGCTCATATTGGACCAGTCTTCAGGTCTGTGCTCTTCCCACTGCTGACTCTCGGGGAAGCCCAGGCAAGGGGTTGCAGCTCAGGATATGAACAGGATGCATTCCTTGCTCCCCAAGACTCCCGGGATAGAAGGACAGACCTGCAAATGGAAAATTACAGTCTTGCTCGGGAGCTGAGTAGCACAGGCATTCCATACAGAAAGAGGACGAAGACAGGGTGTGTGGACCAGGTTTTAGCAGGATTGGGATGCTGGCATCTTAGGGAACATGTGGAGGTTGGAGAGCACTGAAGAAGGAGCCAGGTCATAGAGTGTGTTGAAGGCCATGCCAAGCAGCTTGCACTCCTTCCTGTGTTTGCTCACAGATTGCTTGCCATATATAGACAACCCAGTCTTTACCCAGTCTCCTTCTGTCTCACGCCAACTCTGACAATTTCGTTTTCAGTCATATCCATTCCAGGCAGTTCTAATTCAACTGCATCCTCCGTGTCAATTTGTCTCCTAAGGGAGAACTCGCAGATGGTTAGCTCTGTAAACTTGTAGGTAAGAATAAAGATATTCTCAAATAGCAAAGTCATTGTACAGAGTCACTGCTAAAGGTGCAACAAGAAAGGGGATGGTTCCCTGGTTCAGAATAGAGGCTCCATGTTTGTGCAGTTGTATGGCACTCTTCTAGTCAGGCAGGTTTCTTTCCCTGTCCCCTGCGTATTCTCTTGCAGTTTTGCCCCTCATTAGAGAAAACTTTAGAGAAAAGACACTGTAGAGAATAGATCCCACTATTGTTGTGAGCCGCCCTCCTTGGAGATTTAGGTTGTGTATGTGTGCACAGCAGTGCCATGGTCACCAGCTAACATGAATGAGGGCTCTGAAAAATTTGATAGTGGGATCTTTGTTGGTGAATTTGCATAAGCCGCTGTGCTGAGCTCTGTTACAGTATGCACTCTTTGGGAGACTCCAAATCACATGTTCTTTTCTTATTTATCTAGCTTTTCTTTAGAACATGCACATAATGTATAATACTAGTTACTGTTAATTAAAAAATCTGATTTTAGTCAAGTGCATGCCTATAATCCCAGCCCTCTGGGAAGCTGAGGCAGGAGGATTGCTAATTCAAGGTCAGCCTGGTCAATTTAGTGATTTACACTCTGTCTCAAGACAGAAAACAAAACAAAAGGCAGGAGGTGTAGCTCAGTGCAAAGCCCCTAGGTTCCAGTATTAAAAAATATGTGATAGACATTGTACTATTTATGCTCATTAAAAATTATATTGAGCATTTATTATGAATTATTTTATTTCATCCTCACAACTACCCTCTGAGTCAGATCCTATTTACAGATGAGGAAACTGAGGCTAGGAAGAGGTTGATACAGGACTAGC